AGAAACACTCATGTGCAAAGCATTCACTTCCCCTCTGGCCCCTGACAAACCCCTTCCTTCCACTGAGCATGTGAGCGCTTCTGTTGAGGAGGAAGAGAAGCTCCTGAGGGCAGGGGCGTGGGAGATCATGACATCCGTCTCCTTGGGCGGGGTTTGGACTAAAATATGTAAAGTTCTTCCAAAGTAATTTTAAAAAATCTTCAAATTATGAAGATGATACATGTTGCATCTCACCCTTTAATATAGCTGTATCTTTTCCCTACATTTATATGGTTATGACATTGTTCTGAAAACATAGAGGTTATGCTTGTGCCTATGAACTCCAAAGTGCTCTTTTTTTTTTTTTTGAATGAATTTGAAACACCTCATAATTCAATTTTTACCATATAAAACAGCTTTGTTGGGTGAAATTATGAAGAAACAATGGAGGAAAAAGGAAAATGTCATTCACTGGCACATAGTAGATAGCTATTATTTTACTCAGTCCTCTTTTCTAATGGGCCCCCTATTTGTTCCACTGCTCTTAGCTTAAAATATACCAACATGATAATTTAGTTATGTCTAGCAGAAGAAGATATTTGGGATAAATTAGTGTCCAGGATCAATTTTGTATTTGATAGTATGATCAAAACTTCAGCAAATTAGTAGTAGCAATTACTTCATTATGTACTCATAATCCCAAAATATATTGTATGTGAAAAATACATAAACTTCCTATTTTAGTCCACTAAAAAATTAAATAAATATCTATTCTAGTCTGCATAATGTATTTTGTGTATTTTATGAGGCCCTGCCAAAATAAAAAATGAATTCATAACATAAAATAAAAATTTCTATAAACATTTGCATTTTATGACAGCGCTTCTAGAATATGGAAAATAACTCCAGCAGGCATACATGAAAAAAACATAATTATTTTAATATATATGTGTGTGTTTGTGTGTGTGTGTGTGTGTGTGTGTGTGTATTTATATGTATGGTATTCAGCTTTGTTCGGGTATTTTCCCATGTCATTATAGTTGTGCTTTTAAAGTTATAACGACGTTTCGGCAGAATCTCATCTGCCATCATCAGGCTTGTGTATTGTGTTCATCTGTGTGTCAGGCTTTTGCAGCCGTTTCTGTTTTAAATTTGGTGCGAGCCTCGTGCTTTGTTAGAATGTTTTTTTCTTCATCCTGATTGGTTGGGAGTCTTGGTCTGTGTTTATTGGTCTTGGAGTTTGCTGTGTTCTGCTTGATTGGTGTTTCTAATATCTTCTGTCTGTTTTGTAGCATTTTTTTTTTTGCCTGTCACACAGACAAACCCAATACACAAGCCTGATGATGGCAGATGAGATTCTGCCAAAACATCGCTACAACTTTAAAAGCACAACTATAATGATGTGGGAAAATACCCAAACAAAGCTGAATACCATACATATAAATACCTGCAAAAACTTAAGAAAACACACACACACACACACACACTAATCAGAAGCAACTGTTGTGGTTAGCCGGCAGCAGGTGTGGACAGCTGAGGAGTACGAGGACTCAGATGAGGGGCCAGGACCATTAGAGAGTAGCCTTCAGAGATTGTGGGGGCTGGCAGCAGCTATGAGGAGGTTCCCAAGGAGCCTGTGCCAAGTGCAAGTGCATGCAGGATTTGCCACAGGAAAGAGCAGCTGCAACAGCATGGGCAACTCAGGAGTAAGGCTGCAAAGTAATGGCCCCTCCTTCAAGAAGATAAAAGCCAGCTCTGAAGCGTTCTTTGCAGGAAGAATGTTTTGAAATTCAGCCTCATGAACCATACAGTATTTTAAGTTGATATCTAAAGACTTGTTGTGAAATATTTCTTATCTGTGATTCTTGGCAATCTTGTACAGTTTTGGCAAGGTTTGTGCTTATCAAAGTTAATTAGTTTGCAGCAGCCTTTTAACCAGGGATTCGTAAGACTCATTAAAAGGTTTCTGTTCCCTTTGTTATTGTTTGTCTTATTGGAAAAGGGTTTGGGTCAGAACAGCAACAGGAAAATCTGAAATGCATACTTTGCCACTTCAGCTAAATAAGAATGAAACATTCCATGCTTTAGAACATTTACATATCATATGAAATGTCAGAGAGGGTGATTTAGTTGGGGATCATTGATTCATATAAACCCTGCAATCTTATTTTTTACATTTCTTTTATATTTGGTTCAAATACAATGTAATTGTATCTGCCATTCAGACACTACATTATTTATATGCATTAAATTTTATACTCTGGTTTCCCTTTACATCATATAAATGTTCACATTAAATAATATCAAAGGGATCTTGGAGTCCTAATGGACAATCACTTAAATATGAACCAAAAATGTGTGACAGCAGTCAAAAAAGCCAATCCAGTCCTAAGCTGCATTAATAGAGAGACAGAATCAAGATCACATGAAGTTCTAATACTGCTTTACAAAGCCTTAATAAGGACGCATTTGGAATACCGCATCCAGTTCTGGTCACCACAATATAAAAAAGATGTTGAGACTGGAAAGAATCTAGAGAAGAGCAACAAAAATGATCAGGGGGCCAGAGGCTAAAACGTATAGAATTTGGGTACGTCTAGTCTAATAAAAAGGACTAGAGGAGACAGGATAGCAGTAGCAGTATTCCAATGTTTGAGAGGCTTCTACAAAGACAAGGGGGTCAAATTATTTTCCAAAGCACCAAAAGGCAAGACAAGAAACAATGGATGGAAACTAAGGAGAGAAGCCACCTAGAACTAAGGAGAAATGTCCTAATGGTGAGAGCAATCAATCAATGGAATAACTGGATAATCATTTATCTGAAATGGTATAGGGTATCCTGCTCAAGCAGGGGATTGAATTAGAAGACCTCTAAGGTCCCTATAAGTCTACCAGTATACTATGGATTTTGCCAACTTCTAAACAAGATATAGCATACCAAAAATGACTCATGTGCTCTCCCAGTTACCTATCCTTTTCAGCATAACTATATGTTATTAGCATAAGAAAGGTATATTTAACAATAATCATGGGCATTGTTCTAGAAATATAATTGAACATATAAAGCATTCTAGCTCTTGTGGTCTGTTATGCTGGAATTGCCTTAAGTATTACACACTAGATGTTATATATCTAGTACTATATTTTCCACATTTCACAGTATAATTCTTTCCAGAAATCATTTTATATTCCTTTTTTGGTTTTATGCTACAAGGATTAAAATTTGAATCTTTATTATAGAAACATAAAATGTGCAGTTTTACCACTTCAATATCTGAAATTGCTGCTTATTTCATTCATTACAGAACCTCTGCTGGTATTTAGAAGACAGAAAAGTAGACTTTCTTTTGGTCAGGATTCATGAACCATCTTTGTTATTTTTGCTTTTTTTTAAACAGATGCCAACATGAAGCACAAATACTTTTTATTTATAACTAAAATTGCACTTAACTCTCCATTAGATGGTGACCATAACCTATAACAGAATCCCAAAGCTATTCAAAGTTTTTTTTAAAAATCAGAACGCTATCCTGCAGTTGTATACTAGTAAGAAGGAAGTGATCAATAGCATCTTTGTAAATCAGTTCAATCACATTTGGTCCCTCAGCTCTGGACTAAGCAATTAGCGACCTCTGTTGGCAAGTTCTCAGAATAGAAACAAAGAAAGTATTCCCTGAATAATTCTGGAGCACTTGGAATTCATTTATTTCTTCATCATACTTTAAAAGACAATTTCTAACATAAGCAATAATAGTATAAGCCAATTTGATTTCCTTTTCCTTCATAGAATGGAATGGAAAGGTAGTTCAAACACACATTTTTAGAAGGACTACTGTCATTCACTGAAAAACTAACTTCTAAAATGGTCTGCATAAAATTGCCATTTAAAAATTAGGCTTTTATTTAAACAAAGGATTAGCAGAGATGCTACATCAAAATATTGTTCTTTTTTTCACCTTCCGTTAAAATGATTGATAAAAATGATTTCAAACTGTTAATTCTGCAGAGAGAGAGCACAACTAATTGATCTGGTCTGGAGATAAAAACCATTTCATTCAATAACTGCTTATACTATTGATTTTTCAAACGTTAAATGTTACTTATAGCAAACCAGTTCATTATCTATGTAGAAAGAAATGATTATCCTTTTTATAAAGGAGATAGATCTTTTCCTAAAATTAAGAATATCATGCAGAACAACCACGATCAGTGTTTTCTTAATTTAAGATAGAAATTGGTGCTTAGTTGATTTAATGTTTGATTGTCTCCCATAGCTGTCAAGAAGAAAGGCAGACTGACAGAAACATGTATAAAATCTCGCATATATTTCAGTTTCTCAAGGAACTGAAGGTGATATCCTAAACACTGGCTGCCATTAAAAAAGCCCCTTGGGTTTAATCTGTTCTTTTAGTCAGTTCCATTGGAGACAAGAATTGAAAAAAGATTTTCCGATTTGGAGCTCCTTTTCTCGAGTCAAGGGAGCGGAGGGGCATTTTCCTTGAAACAAAGGCAAATGGAAAGGATTTTTTTGGGGGGGGGAATCGCGAGTCTCCTCTCCATGATATACAAAAGTATCTACTAAGAAGTAACCTTATCATTATGAATCATTCACCGATCCTCCCGCCTTCTTTACTTTCTTGACCGAAAGTCTTCCCCTCCTTTTTTTTTGCTGCCAATGACATTCATTATTCATAGTCCGGGGCGTGTCTTAAGGAGGGGATCTATATAGGCACCAACTGCGGCTGAACGAGAGATCAGAGGGAGCAAAGTTAGGAGAGCGAGTTGCAGGCAACGAGGAGATTTAAACGACAAAAAGGATAATTTTCTTTAAATTACTATTATTTTGCATCACCTTTTCTTTCCTGCCTTTCTTCTCTCTTCTCCCCTTAGGACATCTTATTTTATCGTTTTTGGGGAGGGACTCTTAAGAAATTGTGTGGCGAATTGGGCGGGGGGGGCGTAATTTCCAAAATAAGCTATTTTTGTAGCTTTGAAAAGGAAGGAGCTTTGGAAACAGAGAAAGTCTTCTCCAGGCTTTGGAGTTAGAAGGTTCATATCTCTAACCTCCTGCCACCTTTTTTAAACTTTAGGGGGCTCCCGCAGAAGCTGTAAGGAGCTACGCTTCTTGCCCTCTCTCTTCCCAGGCAAGCTGGGCGGCGCTTGTGCTCTGCCTTCAACCTACAGAAACGTGTGTCCAAGAGCGAGTGAAGTTGTGCGTCTCTGTTTCTGTTAGTCTTGCTTGTTCTTGCCCTGGGCACGAGGGGTACCCGGGTCGATCAGTGCACACTGCTCGAGGTTGTTTGCAGACCCTCTTTACTCTCTGCCTGCCACACTTAATCCTTTTTTCGTCCCTCCTCCCTGTCGCTGTTGCTATGGTGTCTGGGCTCTACATGCTACTCTGGGCAGTGGTGACGGCAACGGCGCTGCTGAGCCGGCTGGCGGTGGCGGTGGGGCCGGTGGTGCGATGCGATCCGTGTGACACGCGGGCTCTGGAGCAGTGCAAGCCCATGGTGCCGGAATGCCCGGAGCTGGTACGCGAACCGGGCTGCGGGTGTTGCTTCACCTGCGCTTTGCCAGAAGGACAGCCGTGCGGCGTCTATACCGAGCGCTGCGGCTCCGGGCTCAGCTGCCGGCCTCGAAGCGACGAGCCGAAACCTCTGCAGGCGCTGCTCGACGGCAAGGGGCTCTGCATGAACGTGAGCGGCGACGCGGCGAGCGGCAGCAGCAGTTCCTCCGCCGGCAACAGGGTCCGTGACTTCCTCCTGCGCGGGACCCATGGACCAGGTAAGAAAACAAAGAGCGGGTCGCGTATGATTCTCCCTAGTCTGAGATCCCCGGCGGCGGCAGCAATAGTTCGGCCTGCCTGCTTATAAGGTCGTAGTGCGCGTGCGCAGCTCGTAAGGCAGGTGTGGTGGTTTGTGCGAAAGGAACAGCGCCAGCACTCCGCGGCTGGTTTGTACTGCCAGTCTCGCTTCTCTTAGAAGATCCCGTCCGATTTTTCCCCTCGGCTACGACCCGCCATTAAGATAGAACTGAGAGAGAAAACTCTTCAAGGTTTCGCAATAGTGATCTGTTCTTAGCTGAGAGTTCTTCCTCCTCACGGGCGAGTTCAAGACTTTAATCCATGCACGGCACTGTGTAGCTGGAGGCGGGACAGTAAGGTTGGTAGAATTTGTTGCTTTCATTAATTTGTATATGTACGTGCATGTGAAGTTCAACCATTGTGGTAAAAATTATATTGCCTTTAGATGATAAGTGCATAGCGTGAGTGGATGAATACAAGTGCGATAATATTAATATTCCTTATTATTAGCCCCTATTAGAAATAACTGTTGATACTTTGTAAAGTCCAATGCTTTTGAGTTAAGTACGCTAAGTATACACGAGTCCGTGTTTCATATAGTTTGAAATCCGTGTGAGTTCACTAATAGATGTCTTTCTGTTTCAGCGTGATTAACTTAGTTCTACATGCAAAGGCAATTCCATATAGCAAGCCAGCTGTGTGTCTTGATGGTGCCTGATTCCTATGATATCTATATGCAAATTTCTCTGGGCAGTCTTGGTGATGAAGTGATATGAATATATAATGTCATATGCAATTTCAATCTGTATTGATCAGGAACATTTAAGGTTTACTTGACTATACATTGGCCAATGTATAGCAACGGTTAATAGTCATTAGCCAGTATATTCTACTGCCAATCTTTTCATTTCTATTCCTATCTGAAGTAAGCTATTCTTGTTAGAAAACAACTTCGCATAAAAAGTGCATTCTTATATCAGTTTTATTTATTAGTTATTGAAGTGAAGTAACAGTGACAGTTTCTTTTTGTAACACACAAAGTATTTACATTGAGACCCATGAATTATGCCATTTTATATTAAAGTGTTATTAAATTAAACAATTACTACCAACCTCCCTTCCATCGAGGGAGGACTGCATGAGTCAAAAAGAGGGTTTTGAAAATATTTACAGACCCCTCACATCCTGGACACGCTATAGGGCGCTGCACACCAGAACAACTAGACACAAGAATAGTTTTTTCCAAACACCATTACCCTCACCATTACCCAAACAATTCCCTCAACACTGTCCAACTATTTACAAAATTTGCACTACTATTACTATTAACCTTCTCATCACTCCTTATCACCCATTGCCTCCCACTTGTGACTGTATGATTGTAACTTTGTTGCTTGTATCCTTATGATCTATATTGACTGTTTCCTAGTATGATTGCTTATTGTACCCTATGACTATTATTAAGTGTTGTACGATTATATATTGTATGTATGATTCTTGACTCTTGATGACTGTATCTTTTCTTTTATGTATACTGAAAGCATTTGCACCAAGACAAATTCCTTGTGTGTGCAATCACACTTGGCCAATAAAGAATTCAATTCTATTCTATTCTAAATGCATTTATGGGTGCACGTGTAATAGACTGTGTAAGTTACATGTACAAATACATCCATCCTTAATGCTTCAGAACAATTCTTCCTAAATTAATAGTTCTGCAAAATGATATTCCTTTGCCTCTTTGATTTTCTAAAAAGTGGAAGAGAAGGAGAGGGAGTTGCTGTTCTGTGTTCTGTAATCAGCAGACTGAACAACGCAATAAAATTAGCTTATCTGATTTCAGAAATGAGAAACAAAGAGAAACTTAAAATGGATGGACTTCAGACTGCCCCTCTCCATTGTAGAAGCAGTGCAGTTTTTCACTGATCCATATGGTTAACTTCTGCATACATAATACTTTTCCAGAACACAAAAGTTAGGATTTATTGTTGAGATATATTAAAATAAATTCCACAGGAAAGCATTTGTAAGGAACCACTTCCCATCTTTATCTCCCTTTTCCTCCTCCTCCTCACATTCAGTTTCTGTACTTGCTTAATGTCCATCTTCTTGTCAACCTTTTCATCTCAGAATTTGGCTACAAATCAACTTTTAAATTGTTTCTCAGAATTAACTCATAATTTTGATAAATACATATTTTTGATTCCCAACCCTTTCGGCATCAGTTCCATGACCTTGGGACGCTGCAAAGGCTGTCCAGTTGCCAGTTGCTCAAAATGCAATTCCATAAGTGGGAGGGGGCGATCATTGGAAGTTCAAATCGGTGTTAGAAGCACTCATATGGGGAACTGGCATAATTTAAAACAGTTGTTAAGTGACTCGATGTAAGTTAAGGAGTATTTATTTGTTCAGAATAAAAGATAAAATTCATGGACTATCAGTGACCAGGATTGAAAGGAATTATGAAGGGATTCACTGAAAAACCTCTTTGTCAATATGATTTAATTAAAATGGCTCATTTAATGGGCATAGACCAATGGGGTGTCAAACTCAAGGCCTGGGGCCAGATTTGGCCCATGGGGTGCTTAGATCTGCGGTGCCGTCTTGTAAATAGCAAAGGACCAGTCCATGATGCCTGAGAACAGAGTTCAGGAGGACTGCACGTGGCCCTTGAGGACTCCATTTTTGCTGGCAGAGGGTTGCAAGATGCCATTGCAAACTAAAATGGAGCTCGGAAACCAGTTTTCACTGGCAAAGCACTTGGGCCACCTCAGGCACCCCCAACACAATTGACATCAAGCTGACCATGCCCACTCTGCCCACATCAGCCCCCCCCCCCAAGGTCAAACACAACCCTGATGTGGTCCTCAATGGAATCAAGTTTGACACCCCTGACATAGAGGATGAATCTGGCTATATATCTGTATCGTAGTGGGGCTTTTTCACTAGAAATAAAACTTTTTTAAAAAAGAAGACTGATCTGGTATACTTGGAGCATTTAAAAAGACACCTGTAGAGGTGACCCTTATTTTACCTATCCCATAGTATAGTCTGCATTGTTGTATATGATAGGCAGTTAGGATTCAAGGTGTGCCCTCTGTATTTTGAGATAGATCCAGGATTTCCTTAGTGAGAAGAAATGACTGATAAGATATCCTGGATGACAGAGTACCATGAGTACTGTATATACTCGAGTATAAGCCTAGTTTTTCAGCCCATTTTTTGTGCTGAAAAAATCCCCCTCGGCTTATACTCGAGTCAGATTCCCCTCTGAAAAAAAAAATGGTGTGGAGTCGCGGCCTCCGGCGGCAGCGACTCCCAACAGCCCCAGCCGGGAAGGGAAAGGCAAAAAGCGCTTTGCCTTTCCCTTCCCGAGGCGGCGGGACTGGGGCCGCTCCGGCGGCAGCAACTCCCAACAGCCCCAGCCGGGAAGGGAAAGGCAAAAAGCGCTTTGCCTTTCCCTTCCCGAGGTGGTGGGACTGGGGCCGCGCCGGCGGTAGTGACTCCTGACTCAGGGGGCCTCCGAGGGAGGGGAAGAGAGTGACTCCTGCCTCCCGCTGTCATCATCATCTTCTTCTTTTGGGTTAGTGAATCAATTAAACCTTTCATGATAGTGAGATCGTTTCCCAAATTAATTATTTTTATTTTTGAAATTTACCAGTAGCTGCTGCATTTCCCACCCTCGGCTTATACTCGAGTCAATAAGTTTTCCCAGTTTTTTTGTGTAAAATTAGGTGCCTCGGCTTGTATTCGGGTCGACTTATACTCGAGTATATACGGTAATATTCTCCTGTTCAGTTTCCCCATGCAGCAGCATTCACTATGTTTAGGATTCTCTTCTGACAAGATCAGGAGGGTATTCCCCAACCCAAATCCTAGCAGGCAGGCATAAACCATGCATGTACTATAAAATATGTCATAAGAATCTGTGCAATGTACTGAAATATTCCAAGTTTCTTGATAGATCTTTCAATGAAGGTAGAAAGTTGTCAAACAATTGTACTAGATGCTGTTGTTTACAGATGAATGTAAACAAATATGAAGGTCATTACTGAGCAGCATATGACACATTATAAAGAGGGATTAGTAACAGGCTTCTTTCTGAGGTGTGCTATAGAACAACGTAGACCTTAATATTTATTAATTTATGAAGCTCCTAAAATGGAAAAATGGTTAGTGATTAGCCTTATTCATAAGGTGGCTTTCTAATAAAAATCCAGGTCTGAATTTCTGAAATAATATATAATTTGTTCTTTTTTAAAAGGGTAATGTCTGGCAACACCAATCAATTATACACTAGAAGATTTGGGAGTATATTTTTGGCAAAACAATATTATTGTTTTTTTCCACGAATGTATCTGTTCCAGCAGATGCTCATTTTACTTTTGGCAGTCCTAATTTGTGGTGTTCAGGTACTTTAAGATACCCCCTAAATGTATCCATGAAGAATAAGCAATGCAAGAAACAAACCCATTTGGAAATTGTTTTGTTTCTATTTAAGAATAATTTAGAAAAAAATAGTTTGTCAATAATTAGTATAGCTGGCTACTATAGGACAGTCGCGGCTAACTTTTTGGGGCTCCTGTGCCAAAAATTGCACGTGCACAAGCATGCACACACTCGCATGCCAGCACCCAGAAGGCAATGCAGCCCCCCCCATGCCCCCTGCACATGCACGTGCAATCCCGCCCCCTTACCTTCACTGTGCTTCACAGCTGATTTTTCAGCTGGTTTGAAGCCTTTTTCGGCCTCCCAAAGGCTTGAAAAAAGCCTCTGCAAGGCTTTTCAGGTTGAATAATAGTCCCTTTAGTCACTTCTAAAGTATTACAGGAAGTGATAAAACTGGCCTATTATTCGTCCTGAAAAGTCTTGCAGAGGCTTTTTTCAAGCCTCTGGGAGGCCGATCAAGGCCTCAAACCAGCTGAAAAATCAGCCGTGAGGCATGCGCAGTGAGGTAAGTTTGCCTGTGGTTCGCATGGCGGCACAAATGGCTCTGTGTGCCACTTGTGGCATGCGTGCCATAGGTTCACCATCACGGCTATAGGGATAGACTTCCCAGGACATTGGAAACTCAGGTTCTGAGAAGGGGCTACTGGATTTGGATGTTCAAATCCAAATCCAGTAGTTTGATATTCTTTACTGCCACCTTATGCCTGTCTATATAACATAGTCTTTCTATAGGGATTACTGTATTATTTAAAGTCATTTTTTCCCCTCAAAAAGTCAAAAGAAAATATTTTTAATATGAAGAGTGGGTCAGATTTTATCATTGGTATCTTAAATAGTTCAATGAGAAATTATACAAATCAATTTTATCATATTTTAATAATAGACATTAAATTTTATGTACATGTATGTGCATGTTGGAAAGGGATTTACAGAGCTGAAAAATATGTTTAAAAATGGAGCTGTACTTATATGATAAAACAATTAATAATAAAAAAAGAAAATGCCATTAAAATTACATATAATACTTAAAAGGTTAAATGTTGATGAAGCACAGAAGTAATTATACAAAACAAATAATTTTGCTTCCTTCACCATTTGTTGGAAATGTATTCTCCTCCACTGCTTTTGCCACTTGTTGTTTAGTGGCAGTGGAAAGATATTAATAGCAAGTACCTAGTTTTGACCCCACTCCTTTGTCTTTTGGCAACATATCATAGGCCTCTTCTGAGTGGGCTTTTATTTTCTGTAACACGAATAGCATTTTTCCCAAAGTAGAACTTTTTATAGTACTGTATCATTTATATTATTTTTATAACTGAATATAAAGTTGGTATGTTTCTGGGTCCATTTCTTTATAGGTGAATATATTCCCTGTTAATAGTTGTGCCTTTTAGGAGCTATTGCCACAGGTGCTTTTTGGCTGAAATATAAACATGCAATGAGCTTGGGAAATATTAACTTCAATAAAATACACAGAGGAAGTAAAACCAGGTCCAGCTGGAGAAAAATTCAGTGTATACACATACTTCTTAACGATATAGGAGCTTTCTGTCTGCCACATATTTAAAACATTTCCTTTATGAAAGTGACATTTTTTAAGTCTCAGGAAAAATCAAGTATGCATATTTGTTTTTAGAACCATAGCACTGCAATATTCACAGCACTGAAAGGAATTATCATTTCCTTCAAAATAGCAGAAAATATGAAGTAATAATTCAATAGTGTCAGGTGGCAGTGGGAAAGGGGATGGTTTCGTGTACACAACCTAATCCTTAGATGAGTAAATGGAGCTTTGTGCGTTTGCCTGCTACTTGCGTGGCTCGGTTCCCAGTGGGCTGTCGACTGGTATCAGGCCATGGACCGGGAGTTGGGGACCCCTGTTTTAAGATTTTTTTAAAATTACTAATAATTAGTAATTACTATTTAATAATTCAATTTTACCATTACAGATTATACCATGTCTGCCTTCATTTAGGAAAAACCTTCATGGCAAACTCAAAAATAGATATGCTTACAATAAATCTTATAAAGAATAAATAGGCAACTATTTCAATCCTTTAAAAGTCAAGTTAACATCCCAATAGATTCTTGATTTAGGTCCAGATTTAGAAGCAATTCAATCCTGGTACAATTCTGCCCTCTTCTGGTGAGAGTTAAAGCTTATTTAAATACAGAGAAGGCAGTTTTCTAGCTGTACATGTAGTCCTCAGCTTACAAACACAACTGAGCCCAAAATTTATGTTGCTAAGTAAGAAATTTGTGAGTTTCCCCCCGTTTTATGACTTTTCTTGCCACAGTTGTTAATTGAATCATTGCAGTTGTTAAATTAGTAACACCGTTGTTAAGTGAATCTGGTTTCCCCATTGTCTTTGGTTGTCAGAAGATTGCAAAAGGTGATAATATGACCCTGGGACACTGCGACTGTCATAAATATGAGTCAGCATGGCTACACAAAGATCTCTTTGGCAAATTGAAAGAAAAAAAGGACAAGTACAAAAAATGGAAAGAAGGACATACAACTAAGGCAGAATATCAGAAACTGCAAAGACGAAGCCAGGATAGCAAAGGCTCAGAACGAACAAAGACTTGCAACAAAAGTCAAAGAAAATAAAAAAAGTTTCTTCCAACATATAAATAACAAGAAAAAAATCAAGGAAACAGTCGGTCCACTAAAGAGAGAAGATGGCAAGGAAGAAACAGGCAACAGAGAGAAAACAGAACTGCTTAACTCATTCTTTGTATCCGTCTTCACCCAAAAAGAAACTATAGCTCAACCCACCAAAAACATCACTGTAAAAGACAGACCAGAAATAAAAGTTAAAATAAGCAAAAAAAAATAGTACGAGAACACCTGTCTGATCTTGATGAAAACAAATCACCGGGGCCTTATGGATTATATCCCAGAGTTTTAAAGGAGCTGGCAGAGGTCATCTCAGAACCACTGCACCATATCTTTCAAAAATCCTGGAGCACCGGAGAACTACCAGAGGACTGGAAAAGAGCTGATGTGGTTCCCATCTTCAAAAAAGGGGGAAAAAAAAACAGACCCAGGAAACTATAGACCAATCAGCCTAACATCAATACCCGGGAAAATACTGGAAAAGATAATAAAAAAACAGATCTTCCAACATCTAGAAACAAGTAAAGTAATAACTAGCAGTCAGCACGGGTTTGTTAAAAACAGATCATGCCAAACTAATCTTATTTCATTCTTCAACACAGTGACTAAATTAGTAGACCAGCAAAATACTGTGGACATAATATATTTAGATTTCAGCAAGGCATTCGACAAAGTAGACCACAACCTACTTCTTAGTAAGCTAGAAAAAAAGTGGAATAGATAGCACCACCACTAGATGGATTCGCAACTGGCTGGCAAACCGTACTAAACGAGTAGTCCTTAATGGGTCTAAGTCTACATGGAGGGAAGTAAGCAGTGGGGTGCCACAAGGGTCCGTCTTAGGCCCAATATCTTCATTAACGACTTAGATGAGGGAATAGAAGCGGAAGTTACCAAATTTGCAGATGATACTAAGCTGGCAGGAATAGCTAACACCCAAGAAGATAGGCTCAAGATCCAGATGGATCTTGACAGACTAGAACACTGGGCCATATCTAATAAAATGAAATTCAATACAGAGAAAAGTAAAGTCCTACACTTAGGCAGGAAAAACCAAAAGTACACATATAGACTGGGTGAAACCAGGCTCAATAGCAGTAACTGTGAGAGGGATCTTGGAGTCTTACTGGACAACCAGCTAAATATGAGCCAGCACTGTGCAGCAGCAGCTAAAAAAGCTAATGCAATCCTAAATTGCATTAACAGAGGGATACAGTCAAGATCAAGGGAGGTACTAATACCACTCTATAAAGCCTTAGTAAGACCACACCTAGAGTACTGCATTTTTGGTCACAACATTATAAAAAAGATATTGAGACTCTAGAAAAAGTACAGAGAAGAGCAACCAGGATGATTAGGGGACTGGAGGCTAAAACATACAACAAACGGTTGCAGGAATTGGGCTTGGCTAGTCTAGTAAAGAGAAGGACCAGGGGACACATGATAGCAGTCTTCCAATATTTGAGGGGCTGCCACAGGGAGGAAGGAGTCAAGCTATTTTCTAAAGCTCCTGTAGGCCAGACAAGGAATAATGGATGGAAACTGAATAAGGAGACATTTAACCTGGAAATAAGGAGAAACTTTCTGACAGAACAATCAACCAGTGGAACAGCTTGCCCTCGGAAGTTGTGGGAGCGCCATCAGTTGAGACTTTCAAGAAGAGATTGGACTGCCATTTGTCAGAAACGGTGTAGGGTCTCCCGCTTGGGTGGGGGGTTGGACTAGATGACCTACAAGGTCCCCTCCAACTCTGATTATCTGTATCTGTATCAGTTGTCAAACATCTGAATTTTGATTACGTGACCATGAGGATGCTGCAATGTGTTAAGTGTGAAAAATGGTCATGTCACTTTTTTCAGTGTTCTTGTAACTTAGAATGGTCACTAAGCAATCTCTTGTAAGAACTACCGGTATAGGGTTCAAAAGTATAATTAGGAAAACAAATCAATGTAGAGTATATAGGCCACTTTTCAAACATTTAAATATAAATGAAAGATGCACAAGCCTTGCAACCCAATAATTATGTTGAAATTATAGGTTGAAAAGTTACTAGGTTCCTTCAGTCATGGGAACACTGAACTCTAAACAGGTGCTATTACCTATATGATCCCTAAGGCTGCCATCTTAAAACCATGTGCTTTGAACTATGTATTGCATTCAGGACACAATAAATATGTATTTTAAGTATTATGGCATCAGTAGCAGATCATTTTCTATATGTAATCCTCAATCTAAATATATGCACAATATTTATTTAGATTTCTACTTTGTTATGCTTCCTCAGAATTAAACTGACCTGATTTATTGTTTGCTTGCTATTCAGTAATGTTCTATGTAAATGATGACAAAATATAAATAATATTCAATATTTAAAAGCACTTCGTAAGTTATTTATTAAACTGACATTGGCTAACAGCTTGTTAAACTTGTTTTTATTTGAAGGGAATTCCAGTGATTCAGATGAAGACCAGAATATTAGTAGTACAGAAAATCAGTCTGTTCCCAGCACCAACAGGATGTTAGATTCCAAGTCACATGTCCATCAGACCAAAATAGATGTCATAAGGAAAGAATATGCCAAAAATACCCAGCGCTACAAGTATGATTCACAAAGCACAGACACACAGAATTTCTCTTCTGAATCTAAACAGGAGACTGAATATGTAAGTATTTCAGTTTGTTACATACTTACTTGCTTACAAATATGTAAGCATTTGTTTAACACTATTATGCGGATAAAATACTGTTTAACAATGTTATATACATCCATGTCTTCATTACATTATTTTAAATGGATAAATTTTACAGATTTATTAATTTACTTATTTATTTAATTTGTATAGCCACCAATCTCACAAAGTGAGTCTGGGCAATGAACAAAGTTTAAAAAAATAAAAGCATAAAAATAATAATAAAATAATAAATAATAAAAATTAAATAATAAAAATTAATTAAAACAATAAAAAAGTTAAAATACACAGCCTGAGTTTTTGCTGCCATCAAAATTATTAGAGTACTGATTTAATGGAATTGGAAGTTTTTTTTATAAATTTTACTCTGTTATTCCATGATTATTCTATAGGTGATTTAAATATTTACTCTTATGGAATTACCCACCATTTATAGCTAAAGATTTTATTTCATTTCATTTATTTATTTTTACTCAACCTTCATTGTTTTTATAAATAACTCTAGGTGGCAAACATAGCTAATATATCTTCCTTCTTTTATTTTCCCTATAACAACAGCCATGTGGATTTGCTAAGAGGGTGATTAACCCATAATTACCCAGTTTTCATGCCCAAAGCAGACTAGAACTCATAGTCTCCTGTTGTTGTTTTTTATCTTGGTGACTTAACAATATACCACATTAACTTTAGTTTGAAGATGTCACCAAACAGCATCTTCAATAACATTTTAGTAAATATAAAAGTTTTTGTTTGGGGAAAACATTGCAGTTTTTTTTAAGAGAAGATGGAAAGAAAGAATTTTTTTGATTTACTTCCTTAAAAAATATTTTATTTATTCATTATCTATTGTTTGAGTTACATCCTGCCTTTTGTTTGGAAACTCCAAGAAGCATATGCAGTGTTTCCTCCTTCCCTGTTTTTCCCATAACAACTCCTATGAGTTAAATTGGGTTAGCTAAAAGAGAACTGGCCCAAAGTCAATCAGTGGCTTTTTGTGGTTGAAGCTAGGCTTCACCAAAGGAGATCCACCATAAATACCCAAGCTGGTGCCATTATGCTCCTTTACCTTTTAAAAGTACATATTTTCTTCTTGAGTTTGTGAATAATGTCTCTATAAAATAATCAGACCAGTAAACAGTTAGATAAACAAATGTTGTGATTCCTGTTCCAGAAAATGTCTAGTAATTTCACAAGATGTAAACCTTTTAATAAAGTAATCATTTAGAAATTAAAAAATTTAAAGAAGAATGTGTACATTCATCCATGCCTATGCTTTGATTAAACTGGTTGTTTTTCTGGGGGTAATGGATTGATTCACTTTTATTCCTCCCAATAGACAAGACAAATTATTAATAAATATAAAATTTCTTACTTATACTCTGTGAGCTTGCATCCCAAGCAGCAAATTCCAATGAGTATAGTGAATGTAAGATTCTGAATCAACTTTTGGCTGTCTGTCAAAAGGTGTCTACTGCTCCCAAAGTCATGTCTAGCTTCGTTAGTGATTGCTCTGCCGTACTGAAATGCCTTTGGGCAAAATAACACATGGGGATGAAGTGGCTACTGTTTCTTGTTCCTTATGTGCAGTGTGCGAACAAAGTTTGCAGGCCAGCCGAGTTGTAGGAAATGTGAGCATAGAATACTGTGGTTCATGTACTGTTCTTGGCAGGAAATCTGCTTATCCCCCATGTCTATGCCAACAGGCACACAAAACATTGCTGGGTATTTCTTGGCTTTGCATCAAAACATTCATAGCTGATCTAGACACAGTGTTGTGTTGTTGAAAAGAAAAAAAAAATTGCAGGAGAGACTACTCCAAAAGCCTACAGAAATAAAAATGTTTGGAGTCTCCAAAAATGCAAAAAGTGTCTGTCCTGATAATTCTGTCATAAAAAGTCTCTCATTTTTCAGAGGCAGTCCATGGATTTTGGCTTTCAGAGTGTGAACAGAAATAAAATAGATATAATAATTGTATTTCAGTGCAGTCACTTTTTAGCTGATGAAAGTACTCAAATTCTAAAATCAGAAGAACTCCGTTTCATTGGTAGTGATGTACCTTTATAAGTTTCCCTATATAAACTGCAGCCATATTTAGGATAAGGGAGAGAGAAGAAGATGACAGAGAATTAGACAAAGGATGACTGTAGGCTCTCAAAGACTTGGTTACTGGAAATAATCATGCATCATGATTTGGAAAGAAATATTTATTTTTTTATGCCAGATTCACCCAAACTATTCAAATTGTTTTATCTAAAATTGCTATGGATTCTGTTTTCATGAAGTTCAGTGCATCTGGCTTTTGAGAAGATAAGAACAGGAATTGACTAAATATTTTATATTTCTAGGCTTAAGAAATTTCAAAGTTATCCCAGATTTTAAGTCAGAAAATGGTTTATAAATTTGCAAAAGATAGTAAACATTTCATTTCCAACTTTTTTCTTCAACCACGGAAGCTACAAATGTAGTTTTACAAATAAAATTGTAATATTTTTGAAAAATCCAGTCCTCTCATGTTCGTTTCTACTAGGGATTTACATATACTGTATGGAGAAAATGTGTTTTGTTTTCAAGTTTCAGAAAATAATACTTCAAATGCTTTGGTGAAATGCTTCCACTTGTTCTTACAATGTTTTAGTGTTTCCAGTTAAAAAAATAAAATATTTCCTAAATAATATAATTATTATTTTATTATAATTTATAAATATTTCTAAAATATTTTTGTCCTTGGCCACTTCTTCTGCAGGTTGGGTGGAAATAAGACCCTTCCTTCCTTCCTCACAGTTGGGCTAAAAAGGAATACAAAAGTTAGCTTTTGTTCGATTTGAATGCCCTATTTTTGTGACAGGATTGGCTAATGGCTTCTGGGGAAAAAAGCAATAAAATATTTCCTTCAAGTTGAGTTCAAATCTATCTTCCACAGCCTCAATTGCCCAATCTAGCCCATAGGCCTAACAGCTTCTGGCTTTCTTCCATCTAAATACTGCTACTTAATTCTCAGGTAAATGTCATTAACAATGTTCAGAGCAATAAATTTACTACTATTCTATTTGCAATTTTCAGATTGCATAAATTAGTAAATTTGCTTTTAAAAGCATTGTGAAATAGCAACAAAATATAAGAGCTTGAAATGAGTGCAGATACAAGTTGTCAACATATTACCATAGTTTGGGCCCAAAATCCAGTTGTAATATTGCAGTCATAAGTCAAGCTACCCAAGTGATCGGACCTTTTTTTTTTTTTTCTCAACATTTTTGTGATGTTTGTTAAGTGAATCACACAGTTGTTAAATAACCCCCCCCCAAATGGGCACTATTTACCAGAACCAGCCAAAAAGAGACCAAAAATGTCACATGATTGCAGGATTTGCAACCAGTCACAAAGGCTAGTAATTTGCCAAGTAGCTGAAATACAGTCATCCGGGAACATGACATGACAGATGAATGTACTTTATGCGCCATAAAGTATACCCATTCTGAGGCCATCATAACTGAACAGTCATAAGATAACCAGTAAGCAATTTACTTACAGATGCATATGAAAATCAAAAGTCTGGACCCTCTAGAGGAAATATTGGTAAGCCGAGGTAATATTGCTAGCATCCTTTATTTCCAGCTGTGGTAGTTGGGTTTGATAGGACTTGTGATTCAACAGCATCCAAAGAGCTATACATTATAAATACACGCAGGACTTCCCTTCCGTAAGTACCATTACAAGCTTGATTTTTTATTGCTTTTTAAATTCACAGAACTGTCTTTAGATTTACAAGATATGAAAACTTCTTTAAACAAAAGGGTTTTATTAATATTGGAATTGTGTAGTAATATCAACAGGCTGTGTTCTTGGTTGTCTTCTTTAGAAGAAGAAGTAGATGAGATAATTCATCAGTTCCCACAGCATAGACACAATATCAAATATGTTTCCAAATAACTTCAGGCAAAATCATCAGACACAATTGGTTTATTATTCTCATCCAAGACATACCAAAATGTAAGAACTGTACAATGACTAAGAACACATAAAGGGATGGAGAAGGAAAAAAAAACCTTTCATGTATGCAAAAAATGAGAAGATCCGGGAAGACTAAGGAATTATTCTAAACAAGATTTTTGACATGAAGTTAATTTAAGGACAATCGTGAATGTTCCTATGTTCTCCCAGGTTGCACTATCTCATACAATTCCAGAGCCTCATTCCCAACTCACATTTTTACAAAAAATCACATGTAGTTGTAGTAGAAGCTTTTGGAAATTAGTTTTAAAAATCTTAGGTTGGCCACCTGCAAGAGTGTCTTCTACTCAATCTCTGTGCTTCTTTGAGTATTTTTGCATTGTTTGCTGCAAAGAGCTGATTGCTCCCATCCAGAAAAAAAGGAGCAAAGAATCAAATTTTTCTTTTCTTTTTCCTTGATTTCCAGTAGGAGGAGGTTAAAACATCAGTCTAGAAACCAGGAGACAGAGTTTAGTCCCAGCATGAAACTCAGTTAGGTGACATCTCCTTTTAATTTCAGACTCAGTATTTTCATCAGGAGAACTGAATTTAAAGGGAGGAGCCCAGAAGATGGATATTTTTCAAACTACGGCAATCAGCTACAGCACAGAAAACAATGGGTGGTTTTAAAAAATAAAGCAGCCAGATTCTTAATGTATCTGTGTGACAGTGATACGTTCAAAAAATTTTTTTTAATTTTCCTTGAGTGATTCTTGTTATTTTATATAAATATACAAACAGCAAATGTTTTATATAAATTTGCATCTTATATAATAGTATAATTAATTGTAATTATATAACAGATACAAACTCAATGTTAAGCGCTCCAAACTTAATTTCAGAAAGTACAACTTCAGCAACAGAGTGGTCAATGCCTGGAATGCACTACCTAACTCTGTTGTTACATCCTCAAACCCCCACTCCTTTAACCTCAAACTATCCACTATTGACCTCACCCCATTCCTAAGAGGTCTGTATAAGTGCAACATCGTGCCTCCCATGCCTGTCCTATTGTCCCCATTTATTCGTACCTATTTCCTGTATTCTTATGTTTATACTTATACCTATTATCTTGTAAGTGCTTGACAAATCAAATAAATAAATAAAATAAAATAGTATAACATGGATCAGTTGAAACTAGAAGACCTCCAAGGTCCCTTCTATGTCTATTATTCTATGTTCTAACATACAAGAAATTGTTAATTTATAAAAATATATTGAAATTGCAATTGACAGGGTCCTTGTCGAAGAGAGATGGAAGATACATTAAACAATCTGAAGATTCTGAATGTTTTAAGTCCAAGAGGATTGCATATTCCAAACTGTGACAAGAAGGGATTTTATAAGAAAAAACAGGTGAGATGAACTATTTACTACTGTATTTCCATTTCTTCTTGCAGATGCAAATCCGTTACTGTGTAATCATCAGTAAGCAACAACAAAGAAGAATTCATGTTCATTTCTTGCTGTTTTAAATTTAAAATAAATTAGCAATAGTTTAGCGCACTTTTTCCTTAGATCTAAAATGACATGTCAAGTCTGGTTGTTTTTGTTTGCTACTTTTTAATGACAGAATAAACTTCCAACATAAGTCACAAATCAGCTGAACCAGTGCCCTTCAATTTTAAAAAGGCAACAGCTCTGAAGAAAAAAAAGCAAAAGAAAGAGAGTGAATATTGTCATCACCATATGACTGTACAAGATCAATGCTTTGAATTATAAATAGCTGCTTGAGAGTGGCTAGAAAAATTGGGTTAGGTTATGTTACAGATGGCAACTTCAGCAACTCCACGTGTCATTCCCTTTTATTCTGTAGAAGATCACTTCTAAAATCTAGTTCATGAAAATGACATGCAAGGAACATTTATTTCATAGTAATACTGGCATTTCATCTGGATCAGCCCTTGAAGCTGTGGCCTTTCTGACAAATGTGAATTATTACAGCTATCTCTGCCATTGTTACACTAAGAGTGGTCAGTGTAGCTGATTCAAAAATGCTGATAAAGGACCTTCAGTTAAACAATGCATTTTGCCACTCGATTCATTTTCATTTGATTTTATAAATTATATATAACATAATGTTTAGAAAAATTATGCATGTATTCAAATATTAATTAAATTAGAGATGTTGAATTTCCATGTCTTTAATTCAATATGTATCATTTTGAATAGCAGAAATTTTCTTTGAATTGACTGTCATATTAAGTTGAAAAATTATATATAAAAAAACTTTTATATGCAGATATAAACAAGGTAATGAATATCCAGTAGCACAAAGTGAATAGAAAAATGTTCAGGTCAAAAAGTTCTATGATCTGATACGTGTATATTTAGAAAAACTGCTGAAAGATCTTACTGGTAACAGAAGGATACCCTGAAAAGCAAATATTTTTAATTGATGCAAATCAAAATAAAGTAAAAACTGCCATGACTAATCCTGGTTCAGGGCTAAACTAGAGTTCTTTGATGACAATCCTTCACTGGCATTTTTTAGTGATTCCATTACTTAGTGCAATGTAGCAAATTCTTCTCTGCATATTCTTCCATTAAGGAGAAGAATTTATATCTTACAGGCCAAATTCTCTTTGAAGTTGAAAACCAGCAGATAGGTTATACTACTTAGTTTGCAGGCTCATATGATCAAATGTTCTTCCATATACATAAAACTCTTTAACCATAACTTTTTAGAGAATTAAATATCCCTGATGACTAATTTTGTGGTGTGGAGCTTTCTTGTTTGTTTTATGTATTTTTCTTTCTGAGGATGAGAGATTATGGTGGAGGATTTCTTTCATCTGATCACCAGATCAAAGTACTACAGATTAGAGTGGAATATAGAGAATATTTTTAAAAACTCTGATTAATTTATAATAAATTAATAGAAATACTGACTTCTAATTGTCTAGAAACAACAGAAATACAGCTAGAGTAAAAAAAAAGTTTTCAGATGGGTGAAACAAGTGTAAATGTTTATATTGAAGAAATGTGTATTGCTGGTCCCCAGAAGAAGTTCCTAGATTGAGAATTTTGAATTTATCTCTTACCTTTTGGTGAATCTTCAAGGTTTAAGTCTGTTCAATCTATAATCTAATACAAGCTTCCCTAATACACATATCTATATTTATGCTGAGATTCTAGGAATCATGAGTAGTTTCAGTATATCTTGAAAGGTTGGCCTAGCCCATAAACATTCATATATGAGCAAGAATATAATATCAAATATTATATAAATAAATTGGATTTATGTATTAATTAATGTTACCAAACATTAATTTAGATGGAACTTCCTTTCAGGTTCTAGATCAAACCTCCCAGAGGTGTAGTAATTATTGAAGTTATATTTATTTTTGATGGATTATTATATTGACAAACTTGGCAGTCATCCATTTGAAATTTTTGGGAGGGATGTCTGAATCAGAAGTTGCAGATAGCTCATAGGTATGACTACAAAGTTGTTTTTTTAAATCAAACAAATGGACCTGTACATCACAACCTCTTCTTCCTCCTTCCTCCTCTCTCCTCCTCCTCTTCCCCACAGCATAGATTGTACCTTTAAAAGATTTGGTCAGCAGACAATCTATCTTCTTATGATTGATTTCCCAGGAAACAGTTCTAGGTGCCATTTTACAAACATGCCATTTTGATTCCACTGCTTTTATTAGAGAATATTATTGGTAAGGCATTCAGTATTTTTAGATGGGGTTTTATGTGCTTGGAGAATTGAAAAAGAGGAAAGTCATCATCAAGTTATAAGCCAACCTCCAGAGAATTTGGAAAAATCCAGAGGCTTTCTTTTTTTAAAAAAAAAAATCTGCTCTTTCATTGCTTATATTACTTGATGTTATATATAATATAACATCTTTATATAATAGTTTGGAAGCAGCTATACTATTATGGCATCATGTTTACCATTGTCTCCTGTTGCAGTCGTTTTTATGTTTTCCTGTGTACTATTTAGACCAGGAGCGTCAAACTCTATTTCCCTGAGGGCCGCATCAGAGTTGTGGTTGATCTCGGGAGGCCAGGAGGGACATGGCCAGCTTTCCTACCTTCCTATTTCTCATTCCCATCTCCTTCCTTCACCCCTCCTTCCTTCCCTCCCTCCCTCTTCCTCATTTCTGTCTCCTTCCTTCTTCCCTCTCCCCTTTCCTGGGGGAGAAGGCAACTCCTCCCCCACATCCACACCCGTTTTTAAATATGGCCCTTATAAAGAGCTGGGGATACTCACTCAGATACCAGCTGCTTGTTTTTCCCCAAAAGAAAAAGAGAAATCGCTGGCCCATGGTCGGTCTTGTAACTTTTTAAGGATTTCAAAAGCTGTACTTTTAATTTTGGGGTCTTGCTTTTGGGGACAATCCCAACCCCCCTCCCTGCACCTCCTTTGTTTCTAAGAAAAAAAAGAAATCAGAGAAAGGGAGAAGAAACCACCCTCCCCCCACGGGAGACAAATCCAAGTCAGAGAAGGAACCCTTACAAGTCACTACCTCTTCCACTCCCACTGCTTTTTCTCCCGAAGAAAAAATCCTCCAGCCCAGAAATGACACTCCCAGAGCCGGAGAGCCTCACTGCAAAGTGAGGAAAAAGATGAAGAAAAATTTTGCAACTTTAAAAACCCAGGGAGAACTCCCCCCAACCTCCTCCTTCCCCATGTGGCTGCTTCTAGAGAGACTGGTTGGCTTGGCACTGATCATTGCTGGAGCCCCACCAGAGGTTTGGAACTAAAGGAGGTGAGCAATTGAGTAGGGAAGCCAGAGTGGGAGAGATCAACTACCAGCTGGAGCAATGTCAGCTCAGTGATTTAGTTTTCAGCTCCCCTTTTTATTCCTTTCTTTGGTTTCTGGGGATTGAGGTTTACTTTCTGTCTTTGCCTGCTTCCTAACCAAGGATTGCTGCTTCTTTTGCTGCCTCCCCTCCAGAAAAACTTTGCTTTCTTTCTCCTTCCTTCCTTCTTTCCTCCCTCCCTCCCTCCCTCTCATTCCCATCTTGTTCCCTCTGCACTCAGGAAGGGACAAGGAGCAGGGAGACATTGGCAGTGCTGCCGGTGACTGTGCTTACCACAGCTATGGCTTTCCCACATGGGGCAGGATGGGGGTTGTTGCAGTGAAAGAAAAGCCACAGGGGCTGCAAGGCTGGGCCAGAGAGCAGGACATGGAGGCAGTGATGGGCACAGCTTTATAACTCGATGGCAGCCATCCAACCTGAAACACAGTGATCATTAGATCGTGCAGGACAGTCCTGGAGCCAGCTACGGGCTGCTCCCGCCACCTCAGCCTCACTCTCCAGGCGTCTGCACAAGAAGCTGTGAGAGCCCAGGGAGTGGAGCTGAGGTGGCGGGGCTGTTCCTTGCTGGCTCCAGGGGCTGTTCCTTGTGGAACAGCCCTATGGCTGACCACATTCCACCCGGATGGTGGCCATCAAGTTATAGATTAGCGCCTGGTCAGGCTGGGTCGGAACTTAGGTGCTGGGTGCCGGTCCTTAGCTGTCTCAAGGGCAGCCCCGTAGGCTGGATCCAGCCACATTGTGGGCTGGATGCAGCCCACAGGCTTGAGACACCCCTGATTTAGACAATTGAGGATTTTCTTCAATTCATATCTAAAGTTGCTATTCTAGCATTATAGTCATTTTTAATATTTTATAGAAGAGTTTTCTGACTTACAAAATTTCATCTTAAATTCCAGCTCTTAACAAAGACAATTTTATTGACAATATATTTTTTTCTGTTTTCCAAACTTGAAAATTAATAATTCTTTGATCAGTCTGTAGAGAGAGAGGGAGAGGGAGAGGGAGAGGGTGGGAGAGACACTAAACTTAGGCTAGAAATCAGGAGATCATGAATTCTAGTTCCACCTGGTTAATTTTCATTAGTAAGTTTCTCTTAGTCCTGAAGAAGATGGCGAACCATTTCTGAACAATCTTGCCAAGAAAATTTCAGAGACTTGTTCAGGCACTTCAGGCCAGTTGGAGAGAAGAAGGGAGGGAGAAGGATGTTTGGTAATGTGTGATCCTTCAAATATTACTGAATAAAAACTTCCATTAAGGTTGATCAATCTTCAATAGAGTGGGAGTTGTAATTCCACAGAACATAGATAATTAGAACATAGTTATGCATACCTCTTTCCTGAATAATAATATTCCAATTGATATTCACTGAGATCTTTATTAATCACCCTTTGTATGTAGAACAGATAATATTTTCTCTGCTCTTTGAAGTGCAAGTGCAAGTTAACTTCCCAAGAATTGTGATTCCATTCAGCAGGAGGGTGGAATATTAGCAGTTAGTATTAATTGTGTCTTCCAATGAAATGTAGAAAGTTGCTCAAAAATATCCCAGATTCCATGGCCAAAAAGCTGACAAA